TGTCCACGCGCACGGCGGGGGGGGACGTGCGCACCCGTGTCCACGCGCACGGCGGCGGGGTGGGGGGCGTGCGCACACCCGTGTCCACGCAGAGGTGGGGACAGGTGTGGGACTCTGGCCCCGCCCCCTCGCCTCGCCCCTCTCCTTCCCACTGCGCAGCCTTCTAGCAGCTGTCACCTGCTGTCACCCCCTGGGCTTCCTTTTAAATTTTGTTTCAGTGTCTTAAAAATATGCAGTACTTTCCCCAAGCTTTTAAAGAAAATTTAGAACAATAATAGGTAGCCTTTTAAAAAGGAGTTGTGCAAACTTTTATAATACTTGTCCTTTCCTCTTTACAGATTTTTTTATACATTGTTAAAATTTGTACTACTCATATCCAAGATGTCTGGTGAAACAAATGCTTCTAAGAAGAAGTCTACTCAGTTAAAAAGAAATTCTGCTCAGTTAAAAAGAAATTCTGCTCGGTTAAAAAGAAATTCAGAAACGAAAGTTGATGAGGAAGTAGCCTCAAAGAAAAAGGTAATGAAAATCTCAGGTCTGTCATGGCACACCCTGATTACAATTTATCTTCATTAAAGAGAAATAAGTAGAGACTGAGAGTCAGTTTTGTTACAAAATATAATAATTGATACTGCAATTTGGGAACTTTTGTAACATAATTTGTAAATTTCTCAGATTAAAATTGTTTACCTCTATTTCCAAAGCTTTAGCCACGGAATTTTAGGGGGAGAAAGAGATTCAGGGAATTGCTAGGGTTTAAATGAAAAGGGTAGGAATAAGGGTACAACATCCTATAAAGACAGAATTAATCAGAGTACATAACACTATTTCACAAAGTGAGCAGTGATTGATTCAAAACATTCTTCCACACTGAGCAAAAATATCACCATTATTCAAGAGTCACTTTAATATGGTTTTTGGCCTGTAATAAGTGTACACTGTTTTAAATACATAGGACTAGTGTACTACAGAATGGTACTTTTATCACTCCTAATTTATGTGTGTTTTTCTCTCCAGGGTAGAAGAAGCAAAGCAAAAAGAAATAAAATTAATCCAAAGCATCTGTTGCCTGAAGGTAATTGTTTCCTATTCTTTAATGTGTGTCTTTCTAAAACTACTTATAATCATGAACATAGTTCAGCATCTTGCTTATTAATTTGGTGAATGACAAAGAGTAATAAACAGTCACATACGTATTTTTGAGAAAATAGTTACTTTTGAAAGCTAAAATTTTACTTTTAGCAAATACTGTAGAGGCTCATGTCAGCAAAGTTGCTAAGAACTTGAGAAAATTGAAAGTATTCCACAGTCTATCTTATTACTAATTTATTACTAAAAGGGAATTTATTTACACATATGCTTTCTGTTTGGTTCTAATTACTAGTTAAATAATTATCATTGGTTAAATAGTAATTTAATATTAGTAATTAGTATGGAATAACCTTTTTTTTTTTTATGAATATCCCTTCATGGGCAGATTCCCTGCTTCTCATCTGATACCAGGTTCCAGTTTATACTCCATGGAACCCAGTACTTTCTTTTCTTGTGTAATGCTCTGCACACCTGTTATTTGTTTAATGTCTCTTTCCTCCAAAAATTTGTCAAAAGTGTATGTTCTTAGTCCCTTGTAAGTAGAACAGTGGAAACAACATAACTGACATTGTATGTCTAGTTTTGGTTTAAGCCCTCTCTTGCCTTCCAGTTACCACCCAATATTTGGTAAATAGTTACCTAGTCTCCCCACTAAAACTCCTAACAGAATTCAAGTCAATTCTGAAAAGCAAACTTTTAATAACTGTAGCTTAATCTCCATTTAAGTTAATTTGTTTGTGGTTTGTATTACAGTATTGTTTAATAATATTTCAGTTAACTTAAAAGTGAGCAGCAAGTTTATCTTTGACATCTGGCCTGTTGTAGCTATATGATCTGTGAGTTAAACAGTTTAACAACTATATAAAATTCTGTTCTTATAGTGCCATTAACTTTTTAGAGTAAAAGAAAATCACTTATTTAAGGTAAAAGAATGCAAACTTTTGGACTGATCTCTCTCTTCATCAATTACAACAGGACAAGTGAAATGTACTCAGCTAAAACAGATCAAAATAGCATCCAAAAAGAGAAAATCCTGGCAACCTCTTCCAAAGAGTACCAAAGAACATTTACAGATTAAGATAGAATCAGTGATGTTGTGAGTATTCTTTCCTTTTTACTCTGGCTACTCACATACTTCCTATGGATATTTTACTAACTTCTTCATATTTACAGTAATAGACGATTTTCCTATTTCAGAAGGAAGTAAATTAATGTCTTAACGATGCATTGACCTTCAGCAAAAGAAGTCTCTTAATTTTAGAAACTTGAGATTCCATCAGTAAAATAAAACTGAACTATGTATGGTCTGGTCTGCTGTCTATAAAAACTTTTCACTTGATATTTATTTTAGGAAGAATCTGAGTGCATAGTAACACTTTATGTGAAAGCTACCAAGCTACAAGTGCAAAGAAAATAAGACAGAATTCTGCCACTATAGAGCTAAACTGCAGAAGAGCCAGTCATTTAAATTGCTACAGTGTAGTATGAGTTTTTAAAAACAAGCTTGGTTACGTTGCTTAAAATATGCTTAATTTGCTTTGGGTGTTGGTGGAACACCAAAACAACAGCAAATAAAGCCAGAAATGGAACTGTAGCTCAAGTACTAGAAGCTCAGAGGCAGTACCTAGCTGACTTCAAGCTCCAGGAAGGGGACACACACACACACACAAACACACACGCACACATGCACACGCATGCACACACGCACGCACACACGCACACACCTGTAGCTCAAGTACTAGAAGCTCAGAGGCAGCACCTAGTCTGACTTCAAGCTCCAGGAAGGGGACACACACACACAAAATATTTTTAATTTTTTTTTAAAAAGGTTAATTTAAAAGGAAAAGTAATCTTTTCTGCCTAGCAAGTAAGAGAGGTTTATTTGAAAGAATTCAGAAGGAAAAAACAGCTACATTATATTTACAAATTGGGTGTTTCCAACTAATATTTGCTCAATTTTTTTCCCCTCTAGAGCAACTTTAGGCCAGGCTAAAAAAAGTAAACAACAAATTGAACAGATCCAATATCATCTCAACTTCTTACATGAAAGGTAATACAGATATGCAGTTTAAAATGACAAAACTGTAATTTATTGTCTTGTTCTTACATTGATATTTGTGAAATGTACTTTTTTTGTTTTAAGAAAGCAGATAGTTCAGAAATAAATGTTTAATTTCCCTGGACTAATGGCAAATGTGTTACTGAAACAGCATAAATTTCAGAAAATCTGTATAACCTCCTCCAAAAAAAATCATGATACTCTTGTTGCTACTTCTTACAGTTTGTTATGTCAGTATTTGAAAACTAGTTATCAACTTAGTATTTTGCTTGTGGTTATTACTTTGAACAAAAATACTAATTAGTTTTAATAAGTATAATTTTCATGGGATGGATATGGAGTTTGACAGCAGGGTACAGATTGGAGTGCTAGAATATGTCTTATAAACTGCTTAAAGATATAACAGCCTAATGTTAAAGAACAAGAAGGGAACCAAAAAGATAACAAGGAAGCTAATACAAATATGATAAAACTAGCTCTTGCTTAACATAGGATCAGTCGCCCTTTCTTGTATAAATGAGGGTATTGCAGTATGTAGGAGCTTCTGCCACAAAGGTCATCTTGCGTTACCAGCACAAAGATTGATTTACATCCCACCAAGTACATAGTCTCTTCATCCTGTGGCAGCTTTTTGGAGTTAGTTAGTTAGCTTGCTCTGTTTTTCCTCAAGTGTTGCTGTCACAATTCATTTTCTTTCCTTTGTTATTGTTCAGATTTTATTAGGGATTTACTTTGGTACAAATAGAGTAAAGACAAATAAAAAAAGGGAGGTCCTGCTTGAAATGCAAGGGTCCAACTCAAAAATGTTGGCCAAGCCTTTAATTCTAGTTATTCAGGAGGCTGAAATCGGAGAATTTTGCTTGAAAAACCTGAGCAGACTTTTTTTTTTTTTTTTTGGTCAGTCATGGGGCTTGAACTCTGGGCCAGGGCACTGTCCCTCAGCTCTTCAGCTCAAGGCTAGCTCTCCACCCCTTTAGCCACAGCGCCACTTCTGGTTTTCTGAGTGGTTTATTGGAGATAAGAGTCAGTCTTTTCCTACCCAGTCAACTAGCAAAAATGCATAAGTGGAGGCATGGCTCAAGTGGTAGGTAGCGTGCCAGCCATGGATGGAAAAGCTGAGGAAGCACATGAGGTCTTGAGTTGAAGCTCCAGTGCTGGCAACAACAACAACAACAACATGACAACCTTGAGCTAAAGAAACGGTCAGTCATCTAGGACCCCTAATTTGTAGAGACAACAGAGTGGCAAATGGGTGTTGATTACCATTCTGAAGCCTAGAGAGGTCATGTAGCCTGACCCAGAACACAAGCACAGCGGGTAAGTTTCAGGAGTTCTCTTTAACAGACTTGATGTCCAATGTTCTGACTGTGTATCTGGGGAACTTTGAAATTCTTTAACGTCTCAGAGAAAGTTAATAGCCCTCAGGTTTCCCTGTTCTTAGAACCTTACATCCAGCAAAGGAGAAGACGACGGTATCAGGCTGGTTGCTCTGGTTTTTCAGTTTATTTCCTGGTTAGTTTCTTAGCCTGACCTGTTAGTACTTACTACTTAAATTTCCCAAGTGATCACATCTCTCCTGCCTCAGCATGTGTTGAAGGTAGGCTTTTACTTTAAGGAGAGTTGGTGAGAGTCCTAGAGATCTAAGCATGATTTAGAACATTGGACTAATGAATACACCCTTCCACATAACTGATTGATAAGCTGAAAAAGGAAGTGGTGATGTTCTTGTAGGGAAGGGCTGCGTCCGTGGGAGCCACAGTCAGCGAAAAATGCTAGAGCCCTAGGTCTTGAGGGCAAGAGTAAAATGTAAACTGCCCTAACACAAGCAGTGCTAGCAGTGTGCAAGAATAAGATCATGTTTTTATTCTACTCATGAGTTTGATACAGGAATGTGAAACCCTGAAAGCGCCTCACAGAAAGCTGAACTATTTAACTGATGTTTCAAATCTACTAAAGATGGAGCAGGCACAGGAAGTAGCTAATGAAGCAAGTCTGATGTCATTGCAGGTATGAAATTTGAATGATTAGAGGACAAGGGAAGAGACTAGATGTTTTAAATCATCATGATATTCTTCCAGTAGTAAATACTAGATTTTTCCTGTGTATGTGTGTGTGTGTATGTGTGTGGTATTAGCAATTGAATTTTTACTCAAGACCTTGTGCTTGTGTTCTACCCCTTGAGCCACATCTCCAGCCTCATTTTGTATTGGTTATTTTTTAATTTTTGAGGTAGGATGCTGGCCTAGGCTGTGATCCTCGTACTTTTGCTTCCTTGTGTCTCTGGTCATAACAGATGCACCTTTCCCCAAACACAGTTACTGCGTTTCTGTGTGGATGGGGCAGGAGGCACAGAACCATGCCCAGCTATAAATAAAATGGGATCTTAAGAACGTTCATGCCTGACTTTGGCCTCAGTCCTTTCTGCCTGCCAGTTAGTTAGCTAGAATTACTAGGAAACAAGCCTAGAAAATTTTGAACTGAACTGTCTTAATATTTTTAATTAAATCATAGCTCAATGACTGAATGCTTTAGACTCTTAAAGCATTTTTGTTTCATCCTTCCTATGACAAAAAAAATATTATCATTAGAGCTAATGTGGATTTATAAGCTAAGCACTTGATAGCTGTCTCCCTCAATCCACATGTTGCTAGGTTGGTGGGGAGTTCTTTGTTTTTCTGCTGGTGCTGGGGGCTTGACCTCAGGACCTCTTGCTTGCAAAGCTGATAGAGTACCACTGAGCTATGCCTGGAACTTTACTAAGTTTTTGAGGGAACAGAAACAGAACATCTCTCCTTATCCCAATAAATTAAACCTCTTTGTAATACATTGTTACATTGGTAAGGCAGCTTTCTGGGAAATTTTTCCCCCAAAATTAATATTTTCTTACAGAAGAGTCTTCATGTCTGAGCTGATATAATTTGTTAAGGTGGAGTTTATGGAATATAAAATACTGTTGTTGTTGTTGTTGTTGTTGTTTTCCTTCAGGAAGAAATAAATAAAACAGTGGGAGCAATAGAAGTTATGAAAGAGAATATTGAAAGCATTAAAAGCAAAGTTCAAAAGTTGGCACGTGATACAAAAAAAGAAGAGGAGATAATACAAAAGGTAATTGTTTTAAAAAGTACATTACTGGAACTTAGATGTACTTGTCAACACATAAATTTACCAAGACTACTTTTGAGTAATAAAATGAGAAAAGTCTGCTTTTTGAAATAATCTCTAGCTTTCTGTTTCAATCCAGGTACATCAGTTAGGTACCAAAGGGCTACTTTCTCTTCCAAAACTTTGTCAGGAAAGTCTCAAAGCACCCACACTTCAAGTAAGTACTTATGTACCATATTGACTATATCATTGATTTTATATTACATATGTAAAAAAATCATCCTGTGTTAAAACAAATTGTTTTCTCTATGTTGATTATATAGTTCAAACTATATAATAACTGTGGTCAGTAGCCCTATAACATTCCATTGCATAGATATATCACAATGGTCCATTACTGATAGAAATAAATTAATTTTTATGAAAGATAATCCTGGATATACCCAAATAAAAGAAAATAGCAGTTACATTCATAAAATGTATCCTTCCTCGGAAGACTCTTACACTCCACCAGTGATCAAAGGACCAACCAAGAATGTGAAGAAGATGGGGTGGGGGGGAGGGGGGAAGGAGAAGGATTGGGATGGGGAGGGGGGAGGCTGGGAAGGGATGGGAAGGGTAAACAAAGGAGGAGGCTGCAATGCTTGGTAAGAAATGTATGCATTATCCTGCCCATGTAATTGTAACCCCTCTGTACAGTATGTTCACAAATAAAATAAAATTTAAAAAAAGAATGTGAAGAAGAAAAGATGGGTTTGAAAGTTGAGTTACAATGAGTTGAAAATATGAATTTGAGTGATAGATATTTGATATTATTATGATTCTCTAAAGAACAGGTATTTGGCATTTTTCATAATAAAATGTTGAAAAGGTAATTAATGCTTTTTTACCTTCAGGAAGAAATTTTGGCAATGATTCCAAACCAGAAAGCTCTTCTAAAGGACTTGAATGTTCTTCACAATTCATCCCAAGTGCAGAGCATGTCAGCATTCATTGAAGAAGCTTATGAGAAACTAGATCCTTCTTGAAGTGCCTTTGTTTTCATGTTAGTATGAATTTATAAAGTTAGAATCTCTGGTATTACAAGGCAGTTGCTTGTGCAGGAGTTCTTTACCTGTAATACGCACTTTAAAGTTAGCCGGGGTGGTCTATTATTAGTATCTAAGGGTCCTTGAAACTGTGTTTATATAAGTTGCATATAAATCGTGCAGCTATTTGTCCAAAACTATGAAGTAAGAATAACCATGATTTTATACTTTAGAATGGCTGCTGAGATCGTTAAATAATTATCGCAGAGGAACTGCTATGCTGTGGCTTTGTGTGTTAGAAGTGTTTACATATACTGCACCTGATGAATAAAAGCACTAGTGTCTGCTGTCACTCATCTTCTAGCTCATAGTTGCATATCTGTTTCCCTTCTTGCTTGAGAACAAGTCAGAGAGGGGAGGGACTACTCTAGTGTTCTGAACTTCATGCCTCCAACCCAGAAGGGTTACCCAGGGTCGGGGTACAAAACCTTCCTGGACCTCTTTGGGATTCCCAGTATGAAGTCCTCTAAGACTTAGCATTCTTGTTTTATTATTATTATCCTTATGTAGTGTACAAAGGAATCTCGTTTTTATCATTCTTCTTGATAATATTCTCAAAAGGTCGTAAGTCCCTCTTTGAAAATTAATTTCTACCATGACAACACATAAGTGACCCTAGCAATGAAATTGGATCTTTTGGAACATTGGTGTTAGTGGGTTGGTAAAAGGGTTGATCTCCTGAAATTAATAGTTGGTCTGTTTCAAATTAGTTGGAGTGGTTACTACATTTTTGATGGTAAGACATCAGGTAATATACAAGGCAAGCAAACTCATAAGGAAACATCATTGTTCTACTTTTTAGTCCCATAGCTTAGACTCAGGGCCTGGGCCCTGTCCCTGAGCCTCTCTGTGCTCAAGGCTAGTGCTCTGCCACTTGAGCCACAGCACCACTTCCAGCTTTTTTAGTAGTTTATTAGAGATAATTATCTCACAGACTTTCCTGCCTGGCCTGGCTTCAAACATGATCCTCAGATCTCAGCCTCCTGTGTAGCTAGGATCATAGGCGTGAGCCACCGGTACCCAGCTGTTCCACAGTTTTTAACAGCAAATGAAATGACTGGAAGAAAGTAAACAAATTGCCTGCGCAAATGTGGCATTTTCCTGCAGGAAAAGGTCTGTCTCCTGCCAATAGAATAATCACATAGTTTTTTTCCAAATTGGTTCCCTTCTGGTTAGGAATAAACTGGGCTGGGAGCCCTTGACTCTAAACCCAGTACTTGGGCTCCACAACAGGCACCAACTCTCCCTGACCCCTAGATATTTCCTTCTCCCAACCATGACTCCATGATCAAGTCCGTCTCCCCAGCCTTGGGTGAGCAGGACAAACAGGACTTGGGCCTCTCTTCTTTACAGAATCAGGAGAACACACAATTTGCCAGCAAGTTACCATCCTGGGGGAAAAGCAGACCTCTGCAAAGCTTGATTGTGACCCACATAGGAACTTTGACCTGGACTGTTGGCCCTGATAGTGGAGAGCAGTGACAGATCCCATGTCCTAGGCCATGAGCCCAGACGTAGTGAGATGAGGTTAAACTTCCCAGAGCAAATCCATCCCTCACAGAGCCACTGGTTCTAGCTGTTGTACGTGTGAACTGGCCAAAACAAATTAGCCATCCTTCCCACAATTTGGTAGTGTGTGCTGAAAGCAGAAGAGTCCTCAATAAGGGTAACGTTAAACTCTGTAAGTAGTGCCTATTAAACCTATGTTTTGGATCAGACTGGACTTGTAGAAGTATTTCTGCCTTATGCCACTGTCACTGTCCTAGTTAGAGATATATTTTATATTTCCTGGGGAGAGTAATGCAACACCAGAATCTTCTCTGATTTGCTGGTAGCCTGCAAATGTGGCATATACCCTCAGTAGGAGTTGGATTTTGACTCCTGGAACCCTGGTGGGAATTCCTGGTGTGAAGATGGAAATCCAAATTTACTCCTATTGGTCACTTCTGTCCTGTGTATCAGAAACTAGAAAGAATAAAGGCTTTAAAAATGACATTTGGTGAGAACCAAGTCTGTGGGCTCTCTGAGCCTCCTGTACACTTTTCCACTTGGACTTTATTTGCAGTCCCCGAGGAACCACAGAGAACAGGATCCAGAAGGCCCTGTGAGTTTGAGTCCATTGTCTGGCACTGCCCAAGGCTGCAAAGAGAGGCCACTAACCCTTGGCTAGCAAATTCAGGGACTACAGAAAAGACCTGGGAGAGGAGAGGAAAGCCTGAAGTGTTGGGACCTGAGCATCCATCAGTATCTAGGATGTGTGGTTGTCACTGTTATCAGGGGGGTGGTCTCAAATGAGGGTGATCCTAGGTTCTTGGTATCTTGAACTAAGAACTGAACAAACAGAAGCACAGCTTTATTGAAGTGAAATGCACAGAGTGAAGTGGGAATACACTCCATGACGTAAGAGTGCGCCTGAGCAAAAGAGCTCCAAATCCCTGAGGAATGGCATCTGCACAAGGTGGAGCTGGTGTGGGTTGAGAGGAGAGTCGCAGGGTCTCTCACATAAGAAATTCGTTGTGAAGGCTGGGCAGTTCTGAGTGGAAGGTCTTTGAACTGCAGACCCATGTCCATAATGCATGTTTTATACATAATGCATAAGCAAAAACCTTAATTGGGCTTTTCACAAAAGATCCTCCAAGGACAGCCAGGTGGAGCGCTGAGCTTGTCCCTCCCTCTGAAAGGAGGTATGCTTTGCTGGAAAGAATCTTGGGCATCAGGATGTGGCATTCATTCTGACGACAACATTGAATGGTAAATTTTATCAGAGCCATAGGGTGGTCTTGGGATGATTTTCAAGGGGTCTTGGGGTCCTCTTTAGGGAGAGCAACCTGGGAAACTATAAACCCTATATTATCTGCCTGCTTCAACTTTACCAGAGCACAGCATTAACCTTGACCCTGGAGATACTCAGAGAAGAAGTGTCATCAGACGCATGCCCGGAGGTTTGGGGGTGGGGTCACTAAGTAGCAAAAGGATGAAAATCCAGACTCTGTACTCTTCTGGATAAGGAAGTGAAGCAGTAAGTTACATGCCATCTCTCTACCAAATTTGTACCAATTTTCCCCAAACCTCTGGCATCAGAAATGCTTGGGGTGGCAGAGGGGCACAGAGAGGCACTGCCCAGCAGAAAGAGGGTATCTGGACTGTGTGCCTGGATGGAGATGCAGCAATTAGACCTCGAAACCCAAAGCAACTGCAGCCATTCTTAATAAGGAAAGTGTATTAGAGCACAAAAATGGTTCAGGCATTTTGGACATACTAAAAGTTCAGCTGAGAGATGTCTGCTTCCTTTAAATTTTTTATTATTATAAAAGATACAGAGGTTACAGTTTCATAAGTTGGGTAATGAGTACATTTCTTTTTTATAATTCACCCCTTCCCTCTCCCAGTTTTTCCCTCCCATTTCCACCCACAAATTGTACATTGCATTTTCAAGGTAGTGTCTAGTGAGTACCACTGCTGCATTTGTTCACCCTTTGTCCCTCCATTTCTGTATCTCCCCTACACTCCCAAAAACATATAAATAAACAGGACATAAGGGGAAAAAATAGCAACAAGGAAAAAAAAACCTGTTTCCATTTTCTGGAGTTCATTTTGATAAATATTTTTTATGACCAGATGAACGTAGGCATTGTGTCTTTGGTTCCTCTCATAAAGAGTATCTCCTTTGTCTCACTGTATATGGACGCCTAGAGTCCTGGCCACTTATCCTGTTTCAGTGTATTTTAGGTCTAGCTTCCTCATATGAGAGAAAACATGTCATTTGTCTCTCTGAGCTTGGTTTACCTCACTTAACATGATTTGTTAGAGGTGTATCACTTCCCTACGAAGGACATAAACTTATTCTTCCTCATGTCTGTGTAAAAATTCCATTGTGTATAGGTACCACGTGTTTTGGATCCATTCATCTATTGTAGGCTATCTGGGCTGTTTCCATATTGTGGTTATTGAGAATAGTGCAACAAAGAACATGGATGTACAAGTGTCTAGGGCTTGCATTATTCAGGGGAGATGCCCAGGAGGGGTATGGCTGGGTCCTAGGAAGATCTATGTTTAGGTTTTTGAGGAACCTCCAGACCGCTGTCCAGACTGGTTGTACTAGTTTACATTACCAAGAACAGTGCAATAGGGTTCCTTTTTTCCCCACTTCCCTGCCAACATCTGTTGTTCAAATTCACAATGTTGGCCAATCTAACCGGGGTGAGATGGAATCTCAGAGCTGTTTTGATTTGCATTACCTTTGTGGCCAGGTATGATAAGCATTTCCTCATTTGTCTCTGCCTTTCCTACCTCTTCTAAGAAATGTAGGCCCCATGGTTTCCCTTATTTGCAATAACTAGTATATGTCTGAGTCAAGCAGAAAAGGTCAGATAAGTTGATGTTAGGGAAATGAACCCTAAGATAATATTCAAAAATTTTTTTCTTTTCAGGTGATTGTTTCTAACACATTTTGGGGGGGGGGGGTGTTCTGGTCGTTGGGCCTGAACTCTGGGCCTGGGCGCTGTCCCTCAGCTCTTCAGCTCAAGACTAGTGCTCTACCACTTGAGCCACAGTGCCACTTCTGGCTTTTTTTCTTTTTGCTTATGTGGTGCTGAGGAATTGAACCCAGGGCCTCATGCATGTAAGGCAAGTGCTCTACCACTGAGCCACCTTCCTAGCCCCTCTAACACATTTATAAGATTATTTCTTTGTTGCTTTGTATGTCCCTCCCCCACGGTATAACCCCTGCTTTCACTGTATTTGAAGTTGGTGTAATTTGTGGAGGAGAAGGGAAAAAACAAATCGTTTAAATAGGGATACAGGTGGATCCATTGCAACAATGAGATGTACAAGTCTTTATGTTGAAAACGAACTTTACAACTTTGGTGGGTGGGGAGGAGGGTTGGGTGGAGGAGTGGGGGGAGGATGGGAAGGGATGGGAAGGGGAAACAAAGGAGGAGGCTACAATGCTTGATAAGAAATGTGCTCATTATCTTGCCCATGTAATTGTAACCGCTCTGTACAGTATTTTCAGAATAAAAAAAAATAAAATAGAAAAAAGAAGTGTTTCCTTACTTAGCTCCTTTATGATTGGTTTATTAGTTTGGGATGGATTCATTTCTTGAGCTCCTTGTGTGATTTTGATATTAGGCCTTGTTGTATGTATTGCTGGTAAAGGTCTCCCAGTCTATGTCGTCTTTCTAGTTGAGTAACTATGTCCTTGCTGTGTATATGTCCTTTTCATTGTATATCTTTAGCTCCCTTATCAAATATCAGATAACTAAGTGCATGGATTTAGTTCTGGGTCTTCTATTGTG